TTTTAGTACTTGAATTTTATGATGTAAAATTTTTTAGTTTGCTTTGAATGACAGATAAAATTTCTGCAAAAGTTTTAAAATTGTAGTTATGGTTCATCATAAAATTTATTTAATTAATTAATTAATCAATTTAATTTACTTTTGTAATTTCAATTTGCTTATAATTTTAATTAATTAGTAAAGTATAATTTGAATTTTTATTCCGCTAACGAAAAATTAGTTATGGCATGCATATTGTCTTAAAATTTTATTCATTAAGTTCATTTTTGACAATTTTTGAACCGTTTTTCAAAATTATATTTAAACTTTTGTTTAAATCAAAAACAATATTTAAGAAATTGATACTAATAAACTTGTTAGTAGAATACATTTGATAAACTTTTGAAGTTGCAGTGCTAACTATTAGAATTCTTCAATCCTTAGACTTTTGTAATACTGATAAGATGCTCGATTTCAGTTTCAGTGGTAATTGAAGACTTGATCTAATTTGTCTCGGTATCATTTTTAGGTCATCGGTTGGATCAAATTTTGAGCTATTTCAAATGGTTAAATTATTGTTATTCATTTTGCATTGTTATTTGATTTGTTGTACTGAACCTAAACGTTCAGTATTTTTGACAAGTTGGTTTGGTACGGGAACGAAAAATGTTAAATACGAAACTATTGCTGTTAATAGCGCTGATGAAAATGGTAAATTTAAATATATTATTTTTAGTATCAAATAAATTTGAATTGCATAAAGTCAATTCGTCTTAATTTGTAGTAAGTAATTTTTGAATTTAAATATTGTACAGCAAATACTTTTGAAAAATAAAACTTATCTTATGTTGTTTGTAATTAAATGCATAAATTTACAATCACTTTCAGACAATTCAAAACTATAAAATATTTCAAGCTTTTTATTTTTGCTTGAATTTTTAACATTATTTGATATCAATAATTAATTTATACATTTTTTCAACTGTTTCACTTTTATTACTCTAATTAATATTTTAAAGAAGTCACTCTCAATTTTTTAATTTTTTGACTGAGTGTGTTTTGCGTTCTATTTAATCCCTTATTTAATACTAATTTAGTTCTTTATTTTACTTGAATTACTTGATTAATCGTTAATTAATTTTATTTCATTGTTTAAACTGAATCACAACTACTCAAAAAAATCATAATTCAGGTAATCTGATTCGACGGAAATTGAATTCAAGACGAGATAGCAATAATCAAATAATAAATGATTGTATTGATATTTATGGAACATTAAGAGTGAATGGGGAGGAATATGAACGGAAAAATGGCAGATTTAAATATAAATGCTCAAATGGTCTTGAAATTATTACAGGTAAATTATCACATCAAAGTGAGTATTGGAAACAAATTAATCAAGTTTAAAAATTGTTATCATTTTTGTGTAAAATATCGTTTATTACCACTTCAAATGATTAATTAAATAGTGAACTAATATCACTAAAAACTTGTTTTTTTAAGTATTACCAGTAAAAGAACTAATTATTAAGCAGCAAAATTAATCAAAATCACAGTATATCATAATCCGAGCTGAAAAATTTGCATATTTATTGCAGCTTGTAAGGGAACGAATCGAACTGGCAACGCTTTGATAAAAGTTA